CCAAGATTCATGATCGTGAGCAACTCCAATTCGGTGAGGCCGAAACGGTGAAAGAGGACGTCAAGGCATTCGCGACAGCGCCGGCTGATTAGAGGCGAAACTCCTCCCGATCGACTAGCAGTAACGCCACTGGCTCTTCGACTCCCAACTTGAGCGCCGGGTGCCCGTTTTGGTGGAACTCGGGCTCCTGTGTGAGTTTTTGATCGATCTGCGAGGTGACGCGCATCCGTTGGCGCGCGCACGAGGTGTAGATATGGGCATGTTTTCCGAATGTAATCCTGCACCATCTGATTAAACATATGCTGGTAGAGTAGTTCTTTGACGTGATCTAACCTGAAATGTTCAACCGGTGCAGCACTCTGCCCGGTGGCGCAGTCTTCACCATCGTTGCCATTCCCTGCACTGTTGGGAGTTGGGCTGCCTGAACTGACTGAACTCGGCTTACTCGCCTGTCGCAGTAAACTCTCCACTGATGGCAACGATTGCTGCTGCTCCACTACCAGCAGCATAACTTCCATGTTTGTAATAATATCGCACCGCTCCTCCAGAATCTTCATTTTGCAGACGATGGGGAAACAATATTGATATCCAAAATTGATCACAAGATGCGTTACTCACATCATCGGCGCCGTAGATCTTCCGGGACTGTTGACAAGAATATGCCCAGTAGTTGTTTAGTTCAAGCCTATGTTAAGCAAATGAGTTCAGACAATTGGAACTACGTTTAGTCAGAGGACAGTTGGCTACAGCGGAACTGTGTTCCGCCGTTGAGGCGGGAGAACTCCCGCTGCTGGTCTTGTATTGCCCGCCAGTATTCGGCTCGTGCCGACAGGCTAACAATATGGAAATCATCAAAGCGTGTGAAAATATGCAACTTCAACTGAATGTAACATAATCACGCGAATGGGTAGAGTTCAAAGGAGCCTAGGAATGCCAAGCATGCTGCAAAGGAGGGCTCAGCGGCTCTTCCCTAATGGAAGTCTACAAAGACAAGAACCTCCTGCATATTAATCGTTGAATGATGCTATTACACTCTAACAAGAAGAAGGATTCCCGTTCTTGCTTATCCTGAAACTTCGCTGCCTGTCTGCCGCATGCGCCTCAGTCCCAGGGCCATCACTGACGCATTCAATAAAGGAGAGGAAATTCGGGCACTGATCCCTCTCGATTTCGATCAGTTTTATTAAAATATGCTGGATCAAGTGGA